AAGGAAATAAGACATTCTCCTTGGATCACTGACCTTGATCGGACGCAAGTATCGGACGTCCGATAGGATCCTTCAAAATCGACGAAACCATCAGACGCTAAATATGTCTCCACCGGACGTCCGATAGAAACAAAATGATTTCTCAAATCTCTTTGTTTGCTGTCGGACGCACAAAGAGCTTGCACCGGACGTTCGATAGAATTGAAGAAAATTTTTCAAACTCACTGCCTGCTGTCAGACGCAAAAAACAGGAGTACCGGACGTCCTATACTCCAACGGCTAGTTGACTGTTCAGCTACTTTCTATCCGTTGGAAGTATTAATGATGCACTTTGTCGGTCTCTTATAAATAGAATATGGTCAGAATGTTCAAACAACTTTTGCACACTGAAAATACAAAAGATCTAGAATAGTTTTAGTGAGAAAACACTCTCCAAAGAAGATTTGTAGTTTTAGTGGTGTGGGGTTCTTTGTAAGCTTTTCATTTGTGAGTGAATACTTTATAAGTATAGCTCTGTGAGGGTTGTCCTGAGGGATAGTAAAACTTTCTAACTTGACCGAGTGGAGTTCGGGACAAGAAGGAGGTGAACCTTCCTTTGTACACAAGAGTGATTGTAATTCATCAATTTGAAGAAGTTTGTTTGAATTAATCTACAAGCTCAAGAGGAGTTGGGTAGTTAATTGGTTTGCAATTCTTTCCTTTTTATTTACTTACTGTTATATTTGTGATCTTTACATTGTTTATCTCTTCCACTTGGTTGTCTTCGATCCTTACAAAATCTTTGTTGGACATGTATCTAGACACAGTGAAAACATTATACAATAAACAATGTCCATTGAATACTAAGTAGAGAAAATCTTTGATGGATACAGACATAGACATATGGAAAATATTATACAATTAACCAACTCAGTCTTTATTCATTCCTAACTAGGATTATCAATGGGATCAGACCAGTTTGAAATTCTTGCATTTTCACAAGTGTTTGACTTAAAATATGGATCCTAATCCATATATAAGATCTTTTGATGATTCTAAACTCAAATAAATAGAATGATTTCCACTACCAAATTTAAGCAAAATTTAAAATTCAAACCATATTTAACATAAAGGATAAAAAAAATGTACACTGTCAGAGATTCACCTTGGGGTTTTGAATTTGCCGCTGCATACTCCCCATCCCTCCCCTATGTCCATATGCTTGTCTTGTGGATGATTGCATGCAGGGCCTTTTTGTAGCAAATGCAGGAGGTGACAGGTTCCCTTGTACAGCAAATCACTGTCCAGACCACTTGGACAATATAGGATTATCACTAGCTTTGGCTCCATTATTTTTTGTTAATCAAGGATTTTAATGCCATATTTTGCCTTTTATATCTTATTTAGAACTCCCACCTCTCCCCCTTCCCTTATGGACTTGCTAACCTCATAAAAGCTAATAGGAGAGGATTTAATCATGTAAGTCATTTTATTATTGAATTTATGCAGTATCTTGTCGTACTAGAAAAAAGTTTAAATGTTGTTCTACTTTTAATCTGCATGAATAATGGTTTTCTCTGTGTTAGTTGTAACGCTACATCTTGCAAACTTATTTGTGTTGGAATATTACAAAAATGTGAAAGTCCAAATGTGGCTGTGCTATATATGAAAGCAAAATTGAGAGAAATAAAGAATAGAACAAAATGTATCTTAATTGGTAATACCATTTTGTCTATAATAAACAGTTTACGGGTTCAAATTATCAAAAAATAATTGAGAAATTATTGTTGATTCTTTTTTAAAAAAATAAAAATGAAATAACATAAAAGGAGGATAGAACAATTTTTTTCTTTTGTTTTTTTTTCTTCCTAACGTGCAGGTATAACAGTTTGGTCCTTTTCTTCTTTAGCTTAACCAACGTCACTTACAAGCCATTTGCATTTAGTTTGGCCCTTAAGAAACATTTTCAAGTTTCATTCGAGGTGTTTTCATTAGTTGCTTTTTTTTTTTAAATGTCCATGATTATGTCAACTCGACAATCTTTTGGTAAATGAAATAAGTACAAACGACATGTACTAAGTAGCGAAAATCTAAATAATTTATCTCTTATCATTATTGTTAAGTGTAAATTAATCCCATACACCTCCTTGTCTTCTTAGAATCAGAAACCTTTTAACCTATGCCTACCTAGAAAATCTTTTTTGTAGATAGAGTATCACAGACATTTTATAAGTTATGTTAGGGACCCTTACTAACGAATATCAAAATCTCTATGATTTCTTTCCATCAAGAAAATCTTACTATAATTCCTAACTACAAATAATATCTTTGACTATTTGATTGATTTGATTAATCATTTGATTGAATAAGATATTAATTAACCAAATATACCAGTCAATTATTATTAAATAGAAGATACCAATTAATCATTGATTGAATATTAATCATTAATTAAGATATCAATTAATTGAGAATCAATCATGTGAATTATAATTGTCTTAAAAAGATTAGTTTTATGTCTTTGTGAAGTAAACGTCAACACATAAACATATATAATGCATCAATAAAGTGGAACCCAATTCTAGGAAAAAAAAAGTGGACCTTAATTGGTACAGCATTTCACGTGCATTTATGGATGCAAATTCGAGTCACAAAGGTTAGGTACAAGGAAAAATTGCAGAAACCTCTCCTGAGATTTCTGACACTTGTACTGACCTCCCCTTTAGCTTTAGAAATGGCATATAGAACCCCTGAATAGGAACAATTCATTGCAGAATCAGTCCAGGGGACTTGATGTCCCATTAAAAAATTATTTGTAGAAGTGAGATAAGAAATTTCTTCCAAATTTGTCCTGATCTTGCTTGACAAGTAGTATTAAGAACGGAGGGGCATAGGCATTAAGGATCAAGCAAGTTCAGGGGGTATAAATGCAACATCATGCTTCCAGATGCAGACCTACAACAGTAACCATTTGTTGAGAGACCAACGGCTACTTAACGGCTAAATGTGCAGTTCCTTGCACTGCCTTATAAATGAGAGGAAAGTCATGCATGAATACCAAGATTACTAGGGAAAATAATGAGCAGCAAGTTGCCAACTCAAAACACAGCTTGCATCATTTTCAATTTGGGAACTTGAGCAAGCAAATATTGCAGCAAAGAGAATGTCTTTTTCCAGCCACAGGAGAGCATCATGGAATTCCCCAACATCTTTCACAATACAAAACAAATATTGCTGGTGCAATCGAAAGGCCACATTGAAGATCTCTGAAACTGAAAACAACCCCAACAAGTTATATTTTTTTGTGCAAAATGCAAGTACTTCCAGTGGTATGAGGGTCCTAAAGCTGAAGAGGTCAACAGAAGAAATTATGACACCAATTCAGTGCTGCAATCTCAACAACAGCTACAAAGGTCTACGAAAATACAAAGGCAAATGCCAATTGTAGTAACAAGTGTAGCGGCTATAAATATAGCAATCAACATACTTTTTGTCATCAATCTCATACTTGTTGCTGTTTATGTTTTCATCCATATTGTGAAGTCAATAGGGTGATGTGTATTCAGAAATGTACACTAGTGAATATAAGTTGTTGCTGCAGTTCGAATTGGTGTTGTAAGACATAGGAGAGTCTTCAATCATGTATCCAGAAATGTACATGAATGGTGTTGTCATCAATCATGTATGCAGCAACAGGTGTAGTTTATATTATAAATGCAACCAGTTCAGTTTACATCTACTATCATGAGTACAAAATCCACTTCATCCAAGAATACAACTTTGAACAGATACGAATAGTACTTGCATTACAAGATAAATCCATTAATACAACAAGTCTGATCAGAATTATGATTGAATTACTACAAAAGCTAACCAGAACAATCACAAGATACAAAAGCATGACTGAGCAATCCACTTCAGTTCAAAACACTGTCTGCTGCATTAAAGGACTTAGAACAGATGGTAAGGATTGCAAAGACCTATCAGCTGAAACATATAAATTTGCTGAAGTCATGTACAAAATATTCGTCTATTATACCTAATTAATAGCATAATACTGAGTGATCTGAGTGCAGTAAGCATTCACCTCCCAAAACTCCTCAGTATGCATCAGAATTGCATACTGAAACTGCTGCTGTTGCTGACATTTGTTGAGTGTAGTGTTGTAGTTGCATTGATTGATTGAGATGCAGCTAAAGCAACTTGAGATGGTGCAATTTGCTGAACTGTAGTTTGTTCCACAGTTTGAGTGATCTGAGTAGTAGTTGAGTTGTTTCTCTTGCTGCTCCATCTAGCAGATGCTCCAGTAGCTGACAATGGCCTTCCTCTCTGCACAATTAGTGAAGATTGAACATTACACAGGAGAGCATTTGCTTCCAGATGTATAAAATATAGTCATTCAAATTAACCTTTTTCTTTGAAATGGTTGTTGTGCTCTCTTTCTGCTGGTGTACATTCACATTCACAGTTGCAGGTTGACTTGAAGGAGAAGGATTGCTTCCTTGGCTTGACTGAACAACTGGAACATTGCCAGAGACATGATCCTAGCAGTGTACATGGACAGGTAGTATTAGCATCGAACAGGCTTTGACTGTAAATGTTACAATCATAAGCTTAAATAAAAAAAAATTATACCCAAAGAGTTGCTCCTGGCAGGCCTGTGTTTGCAGGCCCTCTTCCTGGTTTGCCTCTTCTATAGCTCTACTATTAAGCAATAAGTAACATTAAGTACATGAATTCAGTATAAAATAATCAGATTCAAAAATGAATTGAGCACATATAACACCTGTTGGCCAGCTGAAATGTTGCCATTCCTCTTCTGGATAGGTGCTCTTTGGCATGACCTCTTGTTGTGACCAAAAGAGCCACAGTTTCCACACTTGAACCTGCTCCATCTTTTTGGTTGTGATGCAGACTGTTCTTCATCATGTTCTCTTCTCCTTTTCACCTTTGGTCTACCTGGAGCTCTCCTCAATAGAGGAGGCAGGACTGTTGCAGGGGGTAACATGTGACATAGGTGGCTACATTTTCTCATCAGGAGTTGGATGAATCATACTTGCATATATCTTTAAGTACATATCTCTTGAGAACCAATGCTCACAGTAGGATTCCAGCTTTTGTCTCTTGGAGATAATCCCCAATGCAGCATGTTTACAAGGAAGTCCCGAAATTTGTAATGCTCCACAATCACAACTCTTAGCTGCTAAATTGACTATGTAAGACCTGTTCATGTCCCCCACTTCAAAAACGTCATCAGAAACCATAGTCAGTTCACATTGTCTTGATGCTTGTCCAATTCTTTGTAGTTTACCAACCATCTTTGGTGTGACAGCAGAGGTGAGCATGCATCCTTTCTGATATCTCTTATGCATTTTTTTCATGAACTTCTTCCTCGGCCCATCAACTAGTGTCAAGATTGGTTCCCCTCTGAGCTCACCTATCCATGCATTAAAGGACTCTGTGCAGTTGTTTGTGACATGATCACATTTGAGTCCAGTATTAAAGGTATATCTACGCCAAGTTGGTTTGGGAATTTTGTCCAAATACTTCCAAGCTTCTATGTTTAGGTCCTTTATGCTGGTCATGGTTGCATTATGTCCTGCAACATCAAAGCTTTTTGCTGCTCTCCAGAACAGGTTACTAAGAAGAATACCAGGAAACTGAGCTTTAAAATTGTTGCAGATATGCCTATAGCAATGCCTTCCACTAGCAACAGACACTATGTCTTCATAAGCAATATTCAAGCCCTGAAAACAGCACCAAAACATGCAAATAAGTTACACTGATGACTAACAGTTACACAAGCTGACAATGGCTATCCTAGAAATGCAGAAATTGCATACCTTTTGCTTGTCACTCAAGAAGGTTAGAGGACCATTATCTCTAAATGGTCCAAAAAACTTCTCAAAGTAATGAAAAAATCAACTCCACGTTTCTTTATTTTCAGCTTCAGCCATAGCAAATGCAATAGGAAAAATGCTATTGTTAGCATCCAAGGTGACTGTTGTGAGAAGCACACCACCAAAAGGACCTTTTAAAAAACATCCATCAAAACCAAAAAAAGGTCTACAGCGATCAACAAATCCTCTTCTTTGAGCTTTGAAACTAATAAAGATTCTTAGAAATCTAGGTTCAACAAGAAGAGTAGGCCTAGCATAATGTATTTTGCAAATACTGTGTGGATTGTATTTCCCGAGGAGTTCTGCATACTTTGGCAATTTGGTGTATGATTCACTGTGATTGCCTTCAATCTCATTTCTTGCTTTAGTTAGTGCTCTATAAATCTGCCATTTGCTTGGATGCACACCATATTTAATCATCTCTGCTTCTATCCCTTTGATGGACATGTTAGGATAAATTCTCATGACTGGTACTAGTTTCTTGGCAATCCAGTATGTTGTAGCTTTTGTGTTCTTCCTATCCATCACACATGTGTGTTCACCTTGATAAGTTTTAATCATAAAGGTCATGGAATCTGCAACTAGTGATGCATGGATTCTCTATTTGCATCCTTCAACTCCACAAATTGCAGTTACTATGCTCTTCTCATTCTTCAATCTCATAATTGGAAATCCTTTTTGAATTACATAGTCCTTTAAAGCTGCTATAAATGCATCGATATTAGTGAACGATAGACCTTTCTTAAACTCTATGTCTGATTTTGGGTTATACGTCCACATTTTTTATTTCAAAACTTACTGAATAGGGTCAGTTTCTTGTTCATTTTCAGAATCAGGAACTATATTACCCTCCTCATTGTCATCAAAATCAAAAAAGGACATGTCACTTTGATCACTATCTGCCACAGAGCCACTATCAACATCTATATCCTTCTCATTGTCACTATCCATGCTGTGCAGCCAGCTTGAATCAGAGCTGGAATCACTTTATTCGCCCTCAGAATCATCAATTGCAACCAGTTCAGATACATTGTCCTTTCCTTTTTCTCCTAAGTTTAAATCAGTGTTATGACCATTTGCATCATTCATCTGATTTGTTTTATCACACGGAATAACATCCATATCCAGCACTAAAAATCTGATTATCAGACTTATGCATTGAGAATATTTCACTAACACTATCATCATCTATAATATCAAATATGCGACCTGTCTTAAGAATTAGGCACCTCAGGTGTATTAACTTATTCAGATGTCCAGGGACTTCATTGAATACCTTCTCAACAACATCAAATAGCAAATTAATGTAACAGTAACCAATTGGATCGACATTTGGAATTCTCACTTGTTTCCCCTCATAGTGGACAGCTATGTCATAAGCAGGAAGAAGAGCCATCCTAAGTTTCACAAGTGACAATTACTGAGCAAAGAGGAAACAAGAACAGCAGAGAATTGTATCTAGTTTGGACACGTATATTTACACTGATGACCAGTCATGAACTCAGACTATTGTTCAATACACCATATTTATACAAGAGCTGCAAAGATGAAAAAATAGATCATGATACATCATCCATTGATAAACATAACATAAACAACCAAAATCACAGGGGTAACAAGTCTTAAAGTGCAGGCATAGTACAACAACAAGTCTGAAAACAACTACAATATCATCACATTTACCATTGATCATTACTGACAATAACATCACATTTGTTTCTGATCATTATAACACATTCAACATGATGCAAGAGCAAACATGCATTCACTGCAGTCAGCCACAACCTTAGTATCATACAAGAGCTAAAGTGCAAAGTTGGTGCATTCAAGTGACAACATAAAAAATTATTTACCTACTCAACTTCAGTTCTTGCGAATTAACTGCAGTAGATGCTTAGAATTGGTTCCTAGCTCACCTATCACTTGCTGTTTATCTCTCACGGATACTACTCCTCCCATGAACTAAGCAAAAGCAGTAAGCTTCTTCTCTTATGTTTCCTTCTCTCAATGGTCACAAAATTGCAGAGCAAGTCACACTCTCTTATGCTGCAAGTAGGTAGCTTATCACCTCAAGAGCAACTTGTCACAAATTGGTGCCAATTCATGGCGCCATCTTCCTCACACACTCTTAAACTTTGCATCAGAGCTGGACGGACAGGTTCCAGCTTTAGTTAGTTAGTTACATGAGTTAATTAGTTTAATAAGTTTAACATGCAAATAGTTTGTTTAGTTTCCGACAGACAACAGCTTTAGTTAATTAGTTAATTAGATTAATTAGTTTAACTATGCAGAAATATTTTGTTTAGTTTAATTAGTTTAACAAAGGATTTTGTTGGTTTTGATGAAAGTAATTAAACCTTTCATCTGGTAAAGTGAAAATAATTGGGGTACTCTAGTAAATTCACACATTTTTACCTTTTCAATTGACTCTAACTGTTTTTAGGGGAGGTCAATGCTATTTCAAAATTTATAGGGGAGGTCAGTGCAAGTGTCAGAAACCTCAGGGGAGGTTTCTGCAATTATCCCTAGGTACAATTATACTATCAATCCTTTTTTGAAAATAAGATATTTATAACAATGTAAATGGTATAAAATGAGTTTTAGTAGCTAATTGAAACTAGTTAAGACTTAAAACGGTGACTTCTTTTTTTTTCGAAAAAGTGATATTAATTTAAAGAAAGTGTCTCAATGCCAATGATATATAACATACTAGGCAAAAAATAATACCGGGTAGAAAAACTCTTTGTTGGATACGTAACTAGACACAGTGGAAACATTATACAATTAGCCAACACGGGAGTTTTTTTTGCCAAAATAACACTCTTACTAAAAATATTCCCAATGTGATTCACTTTCAAATTTTATTACCATAATGATATTATTGTTCCCATCTAGTTATCTTGATTGTCATGTAGGATAACAAGAAAGGAAAGTTCTAATCCGATTTATAGTTTCCAACATTAACTAAAATTTTAATTTTTTTTTATTATAGAGGCACAAGAAGATTGCATAACTTTTATAATTATCTAAAATAAATTTTATCATTATTGACCTTACTATTATTGGTCTCTGAATTTTTTTAAATGTATCAAACTTATTGCATATATTTTTTCAAAAAATAATTTTAAAAATACAAAAATTGCAACAAAAATTGCAACGAAAATTTTAAGCAATTACAAAAATTGCAAGGTTATCATATTTGTTTATGTTATCCTTCCTACTCTTTGAAAAGACGAGAATAATCTTCATCTACCTTAAGATTATCGACTTGCGAAACATATTTTTTAGATGCTGTTAACATAAAGATTGGCTTTTTAGATTATGTTTGACAAGGGAAAGATAACAAAAGAAAAAAATGTGGGAAGGTTTATAGAGAAAATTGGAGAAAATATTAGATGAGAAAGAGAAATAGAGGACGTCTTTATCTCTGACACAAATGCTGCCTAAGTGGCAAAAAAGGATCACAAAGGTAATAAATTTTTAAAATTAAGTTATTTTGGGAATATATTTTGAAAGAAGAGTTATTTTGGCAATAAACTCGCCAACACGGCCTTTATTCATTCTTAGCTTTGTCAATCTGTATCTGTCCTTATCTTTGCCTTCGTGGGATTACGTTGGCCTAATATTTTCTCAACCATTAATTCCGTGGTCAAAAGTTTAGGCCTTCAAGGGAATCTTCGCGGCAAAATTTCCGGTTCCCATTACATTTCCATCAAATTTTTCGCAGTTTCGACCAGCCTGCATTCTGATAATCTAGTTGTATAGGACCAAACTTTAACAAGTATATAATACAGCTCTCGTTTTGTTCTGTCCTGGTGCTTATTTGATAACATCTTCGGAACGCTACTATTAGAACAACTTTCAGTTGCCAAATTGCATGCTGTCCCTTACCATGTTCCCCTTTCTTCTCCTTCTTGTTCTTTTTCCTTTTTTCACTTCAATTTCTCAACCCTTTTGTGTTGCAGCTTCAGATTCAATCTATGACAATTTTGCTAGTTGTCTAACAAAAAATGGAATCCCAAGTGGCCAAATTTCTAACATTCTGTATAGTCCAACAAATACTTCATTCAACTCTGTATTACAGGCATATGTTAGAAACCTTAGGTTCAACACATCCAGTACTAGAAAACCATCCATAATTGTCGCACCCTTGGAAATCCCACATGTTCAAGCAGCAGTTTTGTGCACCAAAGGAACAGGGCTGGAGCTAAAAATCCGTAGCGGCGGTCATGATTATGAAGGTATCTCGTATGCTTCTGATATCCCTTTTATCATTCTTGACATGTTTAATCTGAGGTCCATCACGGTTGATATCCCGAGCGAATCTGCTTGGGTACAAGCCGGGGCGACGCTTGGTGAACTTTACTATAGAATTTGGGAGAAGAGCAAAGTATATGGATTCCCTGCTGGTCTTTGCCCAACTCTAGGCGTTGGTGGGCACATCAGTGGGGGTGGTTATGGTGGAATGTTGCGAAAATTTGGTCTTGCGGTAGATAATGTTCTTGATGCACAGATTGTTGATGTTAAAGGCCAGGTTTTGGATAGAAAGGCGATGGGGGAAGATCTTTTCTGGGCTATCAGGGGTGGTGGTGGTGCCAGTTTTGGGGTTGTTTTGGCATACAAACTTAAGTTAGTCCAGGTGCCTGAGATAGTAACTGTCTTTAATGTTCAAAGGACTGAGGCAGAAAATGCAACAAATATTCTTGTTCAGTGGCAGAGTGTTGCTGACAAAATCGACAATGGTCTCTTCATAAGAGTTCTTGTCCAACCAATTACTTCAAAAAGTGGCAAAAGTAAGGGTCAGAAGATCATCAGGTTAACATTCATTGCATTGTATCTAGGAGATTCAGACAGTCTTATGTCTGTGATAAATGCTGGATTCCCTGCTCTGGGATTGCAGAAAAGTGATTGTAAAGAAGGGAGCTGGATACAGTCAATGCTATTCTGGTCCAATTTTGACATTGGGGCAAAACCTGAACTTCTTCTTAACAGAACTTCTGATGTCAATTTCTTGAAGAGAAAATCAGATTATGTCCAAACCCCAATTCCTAAGGATGCACTGACTTCAATCTTCAACAAAATGGTTCAGCTTGGAAAACCTGGACTTGTTTTCAATCCATATGGTGGAAGAATGAGTGAAATCCCTGCAAATGAAACACCATTTCCTCACAGGGCAGGGATCATTTACAAGATTCAATACTCAGTGAATTGGGACGATGCAAGCCCCAACATAACAAATCAATACCTCGAGCAAGCACGGGAACTATACAGTTTCACGACCCCTTATGTATCAAGTAATCCAAGGCAGGCTTTTCTCAACTATAGGGATCTTGATATTGGTACAACTGATAACGGGAAGAACAGTTATAATGAAGGAGAAGTTTATGGGCGCAAATATTTCAAAGACAATTTTGACAGATTGGTTAAAGTGAAGACGGTGGTAGATCCTGAAAATTTCTTCAAGAATGAACAGAGTATCCCAACTCTGCCCGCTCGGTCCTTTCGTAAGAGGAGGTGAGGAAAGTAAAGGTATAAACTACAAGTCATCAATGGTTATAGGGTTGTGTGATAGAATAAGATTCCGACTCGAAATATGTTGTCAATTGATTATACGGATGATATTGTATTATGGTTTTGGAAAACAGTGAATTTCTTGAATTTCTTGTGCTGAATCTCGAATGATACTGAAAGTAAAAGACAAGTATAAAAAAATATAAAAAATCAAATAAGATACACTTATATGCATATTTATCTCTAGTACTTTTGCGGGAATTTCTTGCCCTATACAAATTGAAAAAAATGTTAACCTGGCCTTCAACAAAGAATTTTTCACGTTTTATTAATTTGATATTTTTTTAAATACCTTCAATGGTGATTAAAAATGACTCTCAATACAAATTAATTCAGTTGATAACGTTGATCACAAGTTAATTCAATTGATAATGTCGAAT